GAAAAAAGGACTTTCAGTTCTTTCTCGGAGACCATGTTATTGACAACAAAAGCCACCAACAGTGTATACGTGATATATATCCGAAAAAAAAGTACTCACTTGTTTCCCGTGGGAAGAAAGTAATTTATGGAAAGTGATATTTTATAACCTGTCAACAGATTTCAAACTTATGAAGATTAGATTCCCCCCCCGATAAGGGAGCAAAGTACAATCATAGTGATGTACTGACTTCAATTCTGGGGGAGCCCTGACCACCAGGCCTGTCCTTTTGATATGCCCTTGAAAATCATTGGAACCTCATAAAAATTGTTATCAGAATGTTTTGGACAAAATAATAAAAAATCAGTTCATTTGTCATATTGTCTTTGTGGCCCCATTTGAAATATATCTGTACAGACTATATTGAGGGCTATACCCAAATTAATTGATGGCGTAAGATGAGTACATAGAAACTAATCAAACCTTGCAATTGATGAGCTGGGCGTGACACCAAAACAAATGACGATTGGAAAACTTTCAAAGTGCCATTGGAGTTGTCTCATGAAAAGAGGACTGGGATGCATGATTCCTTTTTTTTTGTGCACCAACCGATTTAGATCATCCTGTACAAAGAAAAATTAAACACTCTGTTTCCATAGACCAAGTGTTGAGAATTATTTATACATTGCCTTAGACAATCTGAACAACAAATTCAAATCAACTCATTAAAATTATCAGCATCCTCATATGTGAGTATGTGTCTTGCATTCAACATTATCAATTTTCTGCACATCAGCATACAAAAGTCAACTATAGAATAATTACAGAGATCAGCAACTCTAGAGAATAACATAACTAATAAATGATTGATAGGTAATTAAAATTTTCCCAATGAGCTTCCTGCAGTTCAAACAGGATGGAACTTCATTTTACAGTTACCAAACCAGTTCATTCTTTCTCACTTAGAGATTTGAACTTCATGATTATATTTGCACAACCTGATTTCAATGCCTGACATATGCTCATGTTCCTAGGTAGATGATATACATCAATTTGTGGTTTACAATACAACAACCTCCTGCATTTTTTTTTTAAGATATTTTCTAATCAGTACAAAAATATTCCTTTCAATGAGAAATTATGGAACCAAGTAACAGGGTGAATAAGTCATAATAAGAAAATCATATTGGGTTCCAAAAAGGATTTGAAAAATATAACTCATGTTGAGCTTGAGCATGACAATCATTGTTATATTCAGATAATAATGTTTTAATATTATATCATCATCTAAGAATTATGATGCTTTACTAAAATATAGATTATTTGAATTATGTTGTGGATAAATAGAGAGATTACCAATAATTATTCCTCAAATATATGTCCAGCATTTTCAGGGAAGATGAATCAATCATTTGTAACTAATAGTACTCCCACTTGGGTAAATCTGTGGTAGTACTTTGGATTTGGCGGTCCTGTAGGAATATCCAAATCTAGATGTCTTCTAATTGTTTTGTTCTTTGAGTTCTTACACAAACACTAAGCACTATTCTGAAATAGGTAAAACAATAATTTGTGATTATGCCATTGTAGTAAGGAATAGATTAATTAGTGTTAATATGCATTAAAGTATACCCTTGGACGATGCACCTCAGGAAGCACTAAAGAAGACTTTTGGCCCAATAGAATACAGAATATTGGACTATAACTGTGAACCTTTGGCAGAAAATACTAGTAACCCATTTATGGATAAATTTTAACAATTTTTTTTAAATGTATTTCGGAGCTGAAGGGCGTCATTTTTTTAAACCAAGGCCTAGTAGATCACATTCAGAGGGCGAAAAATCCAGAATCCATATTAACGATTTTTTCAGAAATAATCCGCGTACACCAGTGGAATAGGCGTCCTCTGAAATAGATCTGTACCAAGTGTCATGAAAAATTATTCAACATTAACGAATCTACAGCATGTCTCATTTCAAACGCCCCCCCACTGTATGAATAGCAATAGCAAAGTTCAATAACCATAAGTTGGAAATCGTGATTTGAAAGAAAAAACAAAAAATAATATTTCATGTTAAATTATTATTACCATCGCCTGTTTTTTTGAAACCCTTCATAGGAATCATATGAAAATTGACATATTATGGGGGGTAAGAAACCATGAGAAACAATATTATTAGGTCAGTTTTCCTGTAAAAAAATGTCTTATATGATTTCATGAAAAATTGATCCATTTATATTTTGATAAAAACGCAGGACACCGGCCAAAAGGATGTTTGTCTTTGAATAACTGATCATATTGATGTCATTCATACTGGTCCCAATTTGGTAGAGATCACAGGACTAATAACTGAGGTAGAGAGGGGGAAGGGGTGGTGGTGTGAAATGAGACACATTGTTGAATATTTTTTCATGGATCTTGGTACAGCTCTATTTCAGAAGACGCCGATTCTAGTGGTGTATGCGATTTTTTTTTAATTGCTAATATGGATAGTAAGTAGGCTTTGGTTTTATGAAAAAACAAATAAATAAAAAATATGGTATTCTGAGAATCCTCATGTAAAACTTCTATGATCTATCAATCAGCCAGTGCTGAAATGAATTTTCTGGCCATTTCACTCAAAATAAGCAGTAACTTCATGTTTTCATTGCATTATAAATAAGGATTTACCTCCATTAAGCTAGCAGAACCACTTTGAATTATTAATTTTTTTCTTCTGCCATAACTTTAGGCTAATTCAAGGCTATATTATTAACCTATTTCCAAATTTATTGCTCTTCGACTTATGCAGAAAACATGGATTCTGCTAGCTTAATGTTATTAACCTTTAAGCTAGCACAACCAAATCTCAAATAGAAATATAAGAATTTTGAGTACACCATAATTTAAGGCTAATTCAAGGCTCTTCATTGAACCTACTTTCAAGTTATTTGTAAATCATTTTCTGTAAAAATATTCCCAAATTCAACATGATCACTCACATGAATGGCATAGTTAAAAAAATATAGAAGGAATATAAGGATATTGTGTACATCATAATTTAATGCTATTTTGTGGCTCTGTTGAGCCTATCATCGATTTTTTCTTGTTACACATTTTGTGCAAAAATTTTTCCAAATCTAACATGAACAAGACAAACCAATAGCAAATCAAAATAATGTTCAATCATGAAAACTAAAAGGGTCTAATCCTAGCTTATTGCTGATTTCCATTTCTTATCAGTAATAGAAACTGTAGATACATCATAAATCATCATAAATTTCCTCATTCATAGTCCATAGCATTGCTATAGAAATTATTTCTTTTATCCTAATGTTCTCTGATAATTTTACCATTTTTGTTATAGGAAAATTTCCATCAATTTTGCATAAGAGTATTCATCAATAAACACTGGTCTCAACAGGAATATTTTGGTTTATTCAGTGCTTTGGCCAAAGAGCTAGCCAAAGAGGTTCTGTTTTAGCCTTGGTTTCAGCCAAATATTGAATAGTTGAAAATTGGCAGAAATCAGTAGCTTACCTAAGCAAAACCAAAGCTTTGGTGCCTCCCTAGTAATAATATCCCTCATAATATCCTTAACCAGTGTATGTTCATTGTTCAACATAATGAGGACCATTTTAATTTTTTTCACAGCACACTTCAAAATTACATGTGTGTTTGAATATCTGACATATGAAGCTGATGTACCTATTCAAGTACCTATCAATTCTCTGACATTTACTGCCACATACATAACAAAATTTTATGAAAATATCTATTCCCTGACCCAGCAATTATTTTTAATTCCAACTAATAGGTAATGATCAGAGCCCACTCAATACTGATAGGATCTGATAAGCAATTTCATTTGTTTTCCTGTTTGTATGAACCAGATGACAAACAGCTGCCCTGGGGCATTTTGTGTCACTTGGTCTGTATATGGGGGTAGTAGCACCTCAAGTAGCAACCTATTTTTTCCGAGATTTTTTCTATTTGTGTGTAAACCTTAATTCATCATCATATTGAATTAAAAAAATTGGAAAGCAAGTCAGTCCTAATCTGAATGTTGAAATGAAGGAATAAATAGGTGGGAGTAACATAAAACACCCTGGATAACACCTTTGTCCAAGTCAAACAGGATGTGTTTTATTCTTCTCCACAATATTGGATCCCCTAACAGAGAGTAAATAAGTTTTTTTCATTTAGAAATCAGAAATTCAGACTGAGGACAACCAGATTTAGTAAGAAAGATATTTTATTTATAGATATAAGGTTATTTCATCTTTCTCTATTCATCATAGAAAATAATACATTGCATCACCTGACAGCAATTTCTTGAACATTTCTGAGTGGTTTATTTAGAAAAAAAAAAGGATATGACCTTGAGCATAAGGCATAACCAAATGTAAACAGTTAACAGTGCTTTGATAGTTTCAAAAAAACCTGATAGGTGGCATAGGATCATTTTCTATGGGAATTGATGATCTCTGATTTTAAATGATTTTGACAAGATTTTTATGTTCAACCTACTGTGCAACATAATCCTGTATAAAGGCTAACTGACAAAATACTTATGCCAAACATTATTTAAGGGTTTTTTCTGAATTCAATGATTTGAAATGTTATAATAACAAGTTGACTTTCTTGAAAATATATCAAAAATTGGTATGGCTTTTTGGAAAAAAACTGCAATACCTGTCAATAATGTTTTCCAGTGTTTGACTCATGAATTTAAAAAACAGATACTTATTATGAAAATGCATTCATTTACTTTCCTCAGAATGAAAGTCAACTTCATATAATGCAACTTGATATAATGGTACATCAGTCTCAGTTAATATCTGAATTATTTTTGAATCACCCATTCCCATTTCATTCCATAGCAAACAGTGATGGCAATCAATTAAAAAAATTGAATAAACTGTTGAGCATTTTTTACATCAAAAACTAGTCAGTAGCTCATTCTATTTGAAAATGTCTTGCTTATCCAAATACAAAATGTTATCAAGATTCAATGTAACTAAATTCTAAAATCTCTTACCCATTTTTATGAGACTGAACTAATTGCATTATGTGGAGCACCCATCTGTGTCAAAACCTTGTCCAGCCACTGTAATGGTCCATGTAAGTGCACCTCTATCCAGCAAGGTGTGCTAGTGACATCTTGCCTGTGGTATTCTGCCCCCCAACCCTTAACAAAGCTCATCCTGATTGTACACATTTTAGTAAGTTCATAAACAGCCTCAAAACCATGATTCACACACTGTGATAACAACTGTGCAAACTCTGCATTATTGAAGATTCTCAGGGAACACCCAGCTGGTATTTTACAAACTGTGGATGGGTGGAAACCATGATGGTGGTTGCAGTTACGGGACTGCACAAAAATGGCTGAATCTGACAAACACTCTGCATACACTTCACCATTTACATAATACAGATGTACTCCTTTGCCAATGTGTCTCCTGGTATTTTCTATGGTAGAGTTACGATTAACATTGCTGAGCTGTCCTAAGCAAAACCTATCACTATTATTGCTTGGGTTTGTGAAACCATCTACAATAACAGAAGTAGAGTGGCAATGGAACACTTCACCTACTCTGGAGTTGAGCTCATAGTATGCTATGGATGCCCAATATGGCTGCTCTTGGTATGCAACAGGTTGTAAGTCTGTGCTCATAGTAGGCTCAGGACTGGGATTGTTATTTGTGTTTGAATTGCTTTCATCTGTGGGGCTGTAAGCAGGTGGAGGAGTCTCAGCTAGATTTGCATAGGGTGATTGTGGGTTGTTTGAGGTTACACTGCCTGGGCTTGGAACACTTGAAAGTGGTGAACTTGGGTTGAGATGGTTTGAATTGAAGCCATTGGAAGTATAACTCACATTATGTGGCATATTTGGTTCCACTAGCTGCTGAAATGGCAGTAGAGAATGTCCAGGAACAAAGTCATTATGTCTTGGCACTAAAACTGGGGGTAACACTGGACTTTCCACTCTTTTATAGTGATATGGATTAATGCACACTTCCTTTTGTTTTGCAGAAAATGGATACTGGCACAGTTCTAGGGGTTTGAGCTCATGGTGGCTCTGCAGGTCAGGCCAACGCCATACACGACAATATATAACATGGGGTAGGCCTTTTCTGTGAGACACTTGGAGTCTGCCATCTAAGCTTCTAGGAATGGTAACACACTTGCTTGGTGTTCCAGGGCATGACAGGGCCCTTTCTAATTCTTCTATGGCACCTTTTCGTTTTTTGAGTTTCTTCACTAAGCTATCTACAGCCTTTTCAGCCCATTTTTCTTCTTCATCACCTTGTTTCCAACCTAGAAGTTTTTTGACTGCAGGACTGGTGAAGGAAAACAAGCTGTTGAGGGTTGATATTGGACCACTACTAGAGGATTCTCCCTCATCAGTCTCCATGATGAAACTGAAAAAGAAAATTTAGTAAGTATATGAATTTTCATTTTGCTCATGAAATATGCCAACTGTTGTTTTGTCAAAGCTTACTAGCAATTTAAATATATATAAAAAAAAGATTTGGGAAGAAAAAGAACAAATGACACAGATTATTAAAATGAGTCACATAGTATTGATAATCTGTAGTCATGTTCATGTTATGAAACTGCGGAACAACGAATGCGTATTAACTTATTCATTACACATCTGTTATGAGAGTGATACTAGTCGAGCATTTCCTAGTACTGTGTATTTATCAGGAGCAACATTTTTTTTCATAATCAACAAAAATAAAGCAGACATGAAGCACTTGACAGATCGTTAAGATCTAGTTGGCTGGTTTATAGAGAAGTTATGTAGCATTTGGATATTTCTTACCTTTTTGGAGATTATTACAATCGAATTTGTGATTCAGTACAAATCTTATTTATATCGAAAATATCAACCAAACACGAAAATGAGTACACCTGTCTTATGACGCCTGGGAGTAACGGAGTCTTTCATCTTTCTTTTTTCTTTGAGTTGGCGCAGTTGACGCTCTAACATACGATGGCGCTGTGTACCGGATAAATCAGATAAATCTTGATGCCGGGAAATTTAAATGGTATAGAATATTATAATGCGTTGTCTTTGAGCGTTTCCTCTTGAAATCGTGCTTGAAGTTGTAAAAAAGAGTCAGCTCAAATATCGAATATCAACTATCAATGGTGCTGAGAAAAATATCAATATCAGTTGGGAATGTTTTAGCATAATTTATTATTCATTTGTTATGCGGTGGTAGTTCAATAGGTAAAAAAAATATAAAATAGAGGTAGGAACATATGTTTTTTATACACTCACCGGCAAAAAAAAACTGGCCAGCAAAAAAAATGTACCAAATTGATCGTCCTGTAACTTTTATAATTCTTGTCCAATTTTGGTAAAATACCGACCAAATCGTCGTAGATTCATGTTTCGAAATGTTAACCTAAATTTTAGTTCCAAAACAAACTGTTGGCTTGATCAATATACAGGGTGATTCATTGATATGGGAAAGCTCGATTGCACCTACACCGTTAGTGCTATAGAAATTAATCAAACGGCACTGCAAATGGGAGGTCGAAGTGCAGTTCGCGTAAAATTATTTTGTCCTTTATATAGGGTGTACCATTTTTGCGTGGCAAATTTTAACATAGTTTTTTTAAATGACACCCTATATATTATTACACATTTTTGAATTTGCCCTTCGTTAGGAGTCATTTATCCGTTCAGTTTTTGAAATTCGCTTCAATCGCTCAGAAGTTATTCAATTATTTCTTAAAATTAATGCGTTTGCCAGGCACTTCTTTGAAAAATTACAGGACACTTGGTTTTTGAAATATCGAGTTGTAACTTTGTCTATGTGTAGGCAACTGCCTTATACCTTCTGGCTCAGGAGCCGTCTATTTTCATTGCGTCGTCTTCTCGCTGTAACACATTGATCTTTGTAAACTTTAAAGGGTCATATCTTGATTTTTTCAAATAGCACTGCCAATATTTCATCGCTTGGTCGTAATAAGCTTGTCATTCTACATATTTTTCATCTCTTATGCTTTTTTCCAAAAGTTCATAGTTCAGAAGATAATTCACATTTTTTAAGAAATGAACACAATTTCATCGATTATCATAAGACTCATAAGAGTGCCATGACAAACAATAAATTCTGACAACAAACGTCAAAGTAGGTAACAGCTTCGGGCGTTCCTTGACGAAAAATGAATGAGTAAAAATTAAATGCTCAAATTATCAAAACAAGTACCTGGATAATATTTTATTGAGGCATAACAAATTCATAGTGATCATATCATCACTGCTCAAAATGACGACCCTCTTGTTCTATACATTTTTCTACTCTCTTGAAGAATGAATTATTCACTGCTTCTAATGTGGCGTTATCAATGCTACGGAAAGCCTCTCTGATTCTCTCTTGCATATTTTCCTTGGTAGTTACTTCAGTTTCATACACCCGATCGTGAACATATATCCCCAAAAAGAAAAAAGTCAGGTTTCGTCAAGTCAGGCGACCTCGCTGGCCATGGTTCCGGACCTCCTCTGCCAACCTCCTAATTCACAGTTTGCAACTTTAAATTAGGCAGAAGAAACTTTTTTTCAAAACATGCCCTAATTTACAGTTGAAACTGTATGAAATTGAATGAAAAAAAAGTTTTTTTTGTCTAATTTACATCAGATGCAACTGAAAAGTAGGAGTTGTGAAGAAAAAAGTTTTCTCTGCCTAATTTACAGTTGGACACTGTCAACTTAGTACTAATTTTCAGTTGCCACTGGAATTTAGGCAAATAATCGTAAATAAAAGTTTTTTTAGGAAGGCCGTTCAGACGCGTCGTACATTCTCACTGAAATAACGTATGCTTTCAATTTTTAGCGGGCCTTTGCCAAAGTTTTCATGATTATATGCGACAAATTCTTGATTATGGTGGTACAGATAACTTTCTGTGAATTTTCTGAGCATAAAGTAATAATATTAAAGTATAGCTGAATACATTTGTATACCTTTCCAAAGGCCTGACTGGTGACTGACGGTCTTTCAATGTATATGCGTTATAGATATGTTGTCTCTAAATTTTGGAATAAAATCTTATCTTTTTCAGAAACAGGTAGGTCCAGCGCCCTTCTGCCCCATTAAAAAAGCTAGCATGCTAAATTTGTGTTATTAAAATGCAAATTTTTTGCTTGTTTTTTTTTTCATACATATTTCAAGGGTTGCAGTGGGTGAACGCCACGTACGTTGTATTTTTCTGAAATATTTGCGTTCCCAATACTCTCAGTCGTAAACTTACGATAAATTTTGCTTACTTTTTTTATACAAATAGTTAAATCACCCTACCCTAACTTCTCTCCGGAAATCATGTATGGCGAGAATCTCTGTAATCGTCGACACGTGGACATCGATAATACAAGTTTCTGTGGTCGATGAGCGTAAACTTCCCACTAAACATGTAATGTTACAAAATATTGTCACAAAATATTGTAAAGCTTCCTTCGGTAATATGAAAATACAATATTGTATCAATTTTGCTACTATATTCGTGTTGACAATATAACAGAAAAACATACTGACGACTTATTTGTAAGTTACAGCTTCTCAGATTTTATTTTCAATAGCAATATTGCATGTACTATAATATACAGTGTGTCCACCTCAAGGACTTACCACCCCTGTAAAATTGTTATTGTCTGACCAATTTCAAAACACTTTTTTTTTGTTGGATAGGTATTTGAAATGTTCATCCAAGAAGAGAGTGATTTTACTCATGAACTGTAATCGTGGCCAACTGCGACCAACTTTATTGACCCATATTTGAGAAAGTACTATTAGGGAATTTTTTTCATAAAAAACAATGATGGAATCTGAATCACGATCACTTGAAAAACACCTCTTCTGATTTTTATCATCGTAAAACACAGGGGGTTCGAAAAAACGAATTATGTTTTTTTTTAATAGGTGATCAGAAAATGTAGTATTGTGGTATTTTTCAGAAGAATTGATGACACATTATTATTGAGGATCACTTAGAACATATCTGTAACGATTTTCATCATTCAAAAATACGATGTGTATGAGAAAACAATTTAAAAGAAAAAGTAGGCAATATTTATTCATCAACTAAAAAAATATATTAATTTGATTTTTCGAACACCCTGTGTTTGATGATGATGAAAATCGGTACATGTATGTTCCAAGTGATCCTGATTCATCTTTTTATTTTGAGTGAAGAATTATCAGGATGAAATATATTGCTTACCTATCATTTTTAATTTTTTTCTCAGACACATTGTATAATCAAATGACGAAAATTGGTACAGGTATATTTGAAATAATCCTCAATGATAATTTGTGTTTATTTCTCGTTATTTCTTTCTAGAAAAACCACAGAACTACATTTGCTAATCACCTATTTGAAGAAAATGATTATTTTGTTTTTTCGGACACCCTGTGTTTTATGGTGATGAAAATCGGTACAGGTATATTTCAAGTGGTACCGATTCAGAATCCATATCAAGTTTCGTGGAAAAAAATCCCTAATAGTACTTTCTGGAATATGGGTCATTGAAATTTGTCGCAGTTGGCCACGATAACAGTCCATGAATTAGATCACTCTCTCGTTGGATGGGCATTTCAAATACCTATCCAACAAAAAAAAGTTTTTTGAAATTGGTCGGATAATAACGATTTTACAGGGGTGGTAAGTCCTTAAGGTGGACACACTGTATATTAGGTATACATTTTACGAATTCATACACCGTTTAATTGATCCAAGCGGATCGTTCGATCCACAATAAATAAAATAGAATGATTTTAATTATTCGTATACCTACCCTATTGCCGGATTACCTAGATCAGTTTGTTATTTTTAGTGCAGAAATTCATGACTAGGTACCAAACAAGATCTCGTAATGATTTTCACCTAAGCAGAAATAGCAGAATGCTTACCAATAGGGGCATGAACTCAATGTTTTATAGAAGAACTGAAAGATTATAATTCTCTCCCTCAAAGCATAAAAGAATGTGAGACTGTAAGAAACTTTAAAAAATTTATTAAGGAGTTCCTGAGACAAAGAGAATAAAAGAAGAAAAAGTTAAAATTTATTTTTCTATATTATTTAATCATGACACTGTTAGTGTTATGCTGTGTGTTGTTATGCTATTGAAATTGTAAATATCAGGATGTATCCTATTCTATACTTATAGTTATAGGACAAACTTGTGAATTCCTTCGTTCGAGTGTGCAGTCAAAGTAGGTAATACAAACTGTAGACTGTAGGTACCTACTCCCTTATTGCTTTCGAGTCTTTATTGGCTCTCGATCAGGAAGCCTATAAAACATTAAAAATCATATGAAATCAATCCTTTTGATCACTGAAACACTTACGGAAATCATCAAATCTTATCTCTCTTCCTTACTGTACGACTAGCTGCTGTAGAACAAACTTTGAGCTCGCACTCAAAATTCTTTCTAAAACAACCTCGAAGATCATTCTTTCCAGAATATTCTCTGGATCCCATCCCATGGAATATTCATATTATCTAGTAAATGTGATTCAATAATAACTGGTGCCGTTACCGCACCGAGGTGGTAACGCTGGGGCACACACAAGCTTTTAAAGCTCATTTTGTACCTAAAAAAATGTATGTAAACCATGGGTGTTTCACAGATAAAGGGAGATATTTCAAT